CTTCTCTTTCCCCACTGAGTTGTCTGGGCACCCTTGGCAAATATCAGTTGATCATAAATGTAAGGATTCTAGACTCTTCAGTTCTATATCACTGATCTTTTGTTAAACATTTGCATTAATATTTTAAATTTTTATTTCCAGGGATTTCCCTGGCAGTCCAGTGGTTAAGACTCTGCACTTCCACTGCAGGGATGTGGGTTCAATTCCTGGTTGGGGAACTGAGATCCTGCATGCCGCATGGCCAAAAAATTTTTTTTAATAAAATAAAAATGTACTTCCAGAAGTGATGACTTTTTCTATGTGAAATGTTTTTCTTTTTAGTTTTAAAAATACTGCTAGGTAGTAGTAATCTACCAAAATAGATGTAGTTATTAAGAAACAGGCTGTAAGCTATTTTAGGCAGAAAACTTTGAAGTATATAAAAATTTAGGCATTGAGTGGTAGCTCTTTTTTCTTAAATAATAGTTTTTATATTGCTTACTTATTTAAAAATGGCTAATATTTGACGTTGCTAAACAAAATGTTTATACATTTACATTAATGTTATGCAGACCAAGAAAGTACTGAAAACACAGGTCCAGGAAGTGGTGCAATTCAAATAAGTATGAAATTTACTTGAGTAAAGAGAGGCTGTCTTCTGTTGTATCTGTATTCTGTTGCAAGTAGCTGTGGTTAAAAACTACAGGAGTAACATTTCTGAAACCATTAATGATTCTGTATTTTATGATTTTTACACTATGACTCTTATATGTTGTCTGCACACCTTTTCATCTTTCAGAGGCTGCACTGCTGCTTGAATTTGTTTTGGATAGCAGAGAGCCCATAAAGTGCTTATAATGATGCGTTCTTGGCTTATTGTCATCCTCCTGTTTTGTGTGCATGTTACTAAACAAAGAGTTCCCCAAACTGCTTTTATTTTACAAAAATGCATCTTCATGTGTTTGTGCCAGTGCTATAGTTTCCTGTTATATGGCATATAGGCAATGAACATATTTTAGATATTAGGCTGATGACTTTGACTTTCATTTAGGAGTCTTTGTCTGAAGTGGAAGAAAAATACAAGAAAGCCATGGTTTCCAATGCACAGTTAGACAATGAGAAGAACAATTTGATATACCAAGTAGATACCCTCAAGGATGTTATTGAAGAGCAGGAGGAACAGATGGCAGAATTTTATAGAGAAAATGAAGAAAAATCAAAGGTAATTGCTCATCTTACATCATGCCTTTCTCTGGGGTCAGAAAATTAAAACCTGCCATTTAAGAAGTACTGGGTTTGATGGAAGAGCACAGCATCCCCGGGAATGATATTTCCATCACAACTGATTGGTGCAGGGAAATTGGCAGAACGTAAGATTGCAGGTCCTGAAATATTTTCCTTTCTTAAGTTTTATAAGATTTAACTTATTTTCATAAGGGGAGGCTTATGACCTCCTTTAGTTTCTGAAAATAGAATACAGCTCAAATTTTATCTTTATTTTCTGTCTCTTAATTGGGACAATTACAGTGAATTACTTCTTCCTGCTATAACTGGCTGGAACTCCACAAAGCTCCAGAGGCTTTCAGTGAGGTGGTTCATTTTATTCTCTTTTCTTTTCTTTTCTTCTCTTTTCTTTTCTTCTCTCAGTTTTCAAAAGAACCTGTTTTCTAAATTGTTGGAGAGACGTCTTTAACCAGTTATTTAAAAAGTGGAGTGTGGAGATGTGGGTCAAAAATCAACAGATGTTTTCTTTAGAGGTTTGTAAGCTATATTGTTAAAATGTGCAGATGGAAAATAAAAGCCACTGCCCAAGGCCTGGATTTGCCTTTTGACAACTGCAGAAAACAAGTTGGGTTCTCTTAAAAGCTTACTGGATTTTGAAAAGCGTTTTAGTCAGTCCAAGCAGAGGACAAGTGGATATTACTGTCAAGAAATGAGTTGCCAGTACATTGCAAAAGTTTTTAAAAAAATAATAATAATTTAGGAAATGAGCTTTGGTGAATTGTTAGAAACAGCAATCTGTATCTGTACATAATAAAGGGAGAAAAGCTGTTAATATAACCTCTAAGGGACCAGCATTATTACTGTAGACTCTAGGAATTTCTTTCCTTGAGGACCAAAAATGCTCATTCCAGCCTGTTTTGGTCACTTTTAAAAAGTGTTAGGAAGTATTTGTAGTGGGTTTGGGGAAAGGAGGGATGAAGAGGCAGAGTGCAGGAGATTTTTAGGGCAGCAGTACTATTCTGTATCATAGTATAATGGTAGATACATTATACATTTATCAAAACTCATAGAATGTACAGCACTGAGAGTGAACCCTAATGTAAACTGTGGGCTTTAGGTGACAATGATGTGTCAGTGTAGGTTCATTGATTGTAACAAATGTACCACTCTGGTTTGGGATGTTAATAGTGGGGGAAGGCTGTTACTGAGGGGCGGGGAGAGGAGTGGGAGTATATGGAAACACTGTACTCTCTGCTCCATTTTGCCGTAAATCTAAAACTCCTCGGAAAAAAGTAGTGTCTATTAACAAAAATGTTAAAGTAAGAAAACTTGTGTCTAGGTAAAGTGACAAAGAGGCCTCTGGGTATTTTCATATTGATGACAGTGGCTCATTGAAGATTTGGTGACAATAGATGTTTCCTCTTTGAATCTTCCTGTATCTCATAGGCCAGTTGTGGAGTGTCTGAGCTGTCATACTTTTCTTAGTCCTTGGACTCCTTTTCTGCCTTCCCACACATTTTTCTTAGCTATTTCTGGCTCTTTGCTTCTAACAGATTAGAAGAAAATCTCATGCTAAGTATTTAATGATCAGTCCTAAAACGAGTTCTTATCTTTCCATCTTCTCAAATGTCCTTGAGCATTTTAAAAATTAAAAAAAGTCCCTATGATAAGCTATTTTAACCAACTTCATTTTTCCCTCCTATAATTTTCTGAGATGCAGAGATGTCTTAGTATACAGAGTTGTGGCTTTTCAGTTTGTTTTTGTTTTTAAATCATGTGCTTTTTGAATTTGAAAAATCTGTATGCTTTTTTTAATACCCTGGGGATCTGCTTCAGGTACTGCGATGCAGAAGACTTTGTGGTCGTGTCTCTCTCTGCTGTACCTTCACCCTGAGCTCTCTTCTAAACAGATACTGCCTCGTGCAGTAGATGTTCCTGTTCAGAGACATACAAAGAAGTCAGGCACTCTGGTATGTTTCATTATAGCAGCAGATGGTGAGGGTGGAGAATGATATTCATACCATTTTTCAAAATGTCTTTAGTGTTTCCTGCTGGAATTATGGTAACTGCATCTTAAATATTATCTCTATACCTACTTCAGGGACAGAATGCCTGACTAGGAATGTCTCAGGTGTATTATTCTTTTCTTAATAGCTATTCATTATAGTAGGGAATTTTTTTCCTCTTTTTTTTTTAAGCTTATCTGAGATTTAATAAAATCTTTTATGGCAGATTTTAAACATACAAAAAAAAAAGAAGAGTATAACAGACTCTCCTGAACCCATTACCTACGCCTAACAAACCATCAGTGTATGGCCAATTTTGCCCTGTCTACTTCCCCCACTCACATTATTTGAAGCAAGTCCTAAACACCCCATATTTTAATATGAATTTAATATGAATTTAAATGATATGGACTCTCTTTTTTAAAATATAACCACAAGACCATTTCACATCTGAAAAATTAATAATAATTCTTTCATACTACATATCCTGTCATTGTTAAAATTTCAGTTGTCTCAGTGTCATAAATGATTGTTCTTTTTCGCACTTAAGAAAACAATCAGGATCTAGATAAGTTCCACACATTGGAATTAGCTGTCATGTCTTATAAGTCTGTTTTTATTTATAGGTTTCCTATCATCTCTTTTTCTCCCTTGCAATTTATGTGTTGAAGAAACTGGATTGCCTTTCTTTTAACAGTTTCTGACAGTCTTGGGGATTTTGCTGTTTCATTACTGTCGTTCTTTACCATGCTCCTTTTTCCTCTGTATTTCCTGTACATAGTTAGTTAGGTTTAGAGGTTTAATCAAATACAGGTTTAGTCTACTTCATAGAGAAGTAGACTAAAACCTTCAGGAGGCCCAGATGTATGGCTCCTCTCTCTGTGATGCTGCAGCTGGATACTTATATCCATTAGTTGATTAGGGGTTGCCAAATGAGATATTCTAATTTTATCATTACTGATTTCTTTCATTTTCTTTTATTGTTTTAAAACAGCTTTATTGAGATATAATTCACATACCATACACTTCATCCATCTTAAGTGTACAATTCAGTGGCTTTTTGGTATCTTCACAGACAAATTCAACCATCACCACAATTTTAGAATATTTCATCACGTCAGAAAGCAATCCTGTACCCTTTAGCTGTCTCTCACTCCCCTCAGCCCTGAGTAACCACTATTCTACTTTCTGTCTCTATAGGTTTCCCTTTTCTAGACATTCATATTAATGGAATCATATAATTTGTAGTCTTTTATAATTGGCTTCTTTCACTTTGGTTAATATTTTCAAGTTCACCTGTGTGGTGCATGCATCAGTACTTCATTCCTATTTATGACCTAATAATAGTCCATTGTATAGGTATACCACATTTTGTTTATCCATTCATGTGTTGATGGACATCTGGTGTTTTTTCACTTTTTGTCTGTGATGAATAATGCTGCGGTAAACATTTGTGTACAAGTTCTTGTGTGGACATAAGTCTTTCTTTCTTTTAAATATACACCTAGGAGTGGAATTGCTGGGTCATATGGCAACTCTGTATTTAACCATTTGAGGAATAACCAGACCCTTTTCCAAAGCGGCTGCACCATTCCCTCCAGCAAGTGTATGCAAGTGTAAGCAGGTTCTGATTTCTCCACATCCTCACCAACACTTGTTTTTATCTGAGTTTTTTCCTAGCCATTCTAGCAGGTGCGGTTTTGCTTTGCATCATCTCCCTGATGACTAATGATTTCAAGTATATTTTGATATGCTTACTGATTCTTTGTACATCTTCTTTGGAGAAATGTCTGTTCAGATCCTTTGTGCATTTTTAAATTGTATTATCTTTGTGTTACTGCATTGTTAGAGTTTGTATATTCTAGATACAAGTTCCTTATCAGATACATGGTTGGCAAATATTTTCTGCCATTCCATGGGTTGTCTTTTCACTTTCCTATGCTTTATTTATTAGTGTAAGTCCATCTTTTTTTTTTTTTTTTTTTTTTTTGTTTTTTTTTTTTTTTTTTTTTTTTTTTTTTTTGCGGTACGCGGGCCTCTCACTGCTGTGACCCCTCCCGTCGCGGAGCACAGGCTCCGGACACACAGGCTCAGCGGCCATGGCTCACGGGCCCAGCCGCTCCATGGCATGTGGGATCTTCCTGGACCGGGGCACTAACCCATGTCCCCTGCATCGGCAGGCGGACTCCCAACCACTGCGCCACCAGGGAAGCCCTGTAAGTCCATCTTTAAAGAGAAATTTCCCCTCATCTCTTATTACTCAATGAGAGAGTTTACATAGGAAAGGCAAGATTAAAACTTGATTCTTTTCCTTTGTTTACCAGTTTTCAAAATAAGGAATTGATTGTTTGGCATCTTCTCATAGTGCCCAATTTTTTAAAAAATCATCATGAAGGCAAGAATTCAAGCATTTGATGATTTCAATCCATTGTAGCTTTTATTCTTATTGATTTTCAGGTTGTCCCACCTTTAACTAATGTGAACATCTTCAGGTTGATTCCCAAGTAATTTTGATCTGAGTCTAATTGGTTGTGATAGCTTCTTTGCTGTGTAGCACAAGAAAGTGTTCTGGACTCGTCTGGTACATTTCCTGCTCCAGACCTGAAATCAGCTGTTAGTACAAGGACCCCTGGTTCTCTTTTAGTGGAGCAGTGTGGGTGCTGGGGGTGCACTTGCCACCAAGATGGTAACTGTTTATAGACCTTTTTAGTGGTTATATCAGGGAAATATGTATATGGGGCATTTTTTTGTTTGTTTTTAAAGTCAAAATATGTTATGCTTATAGTTTTAGTTTATATTCAGGATGTAGGGCTTTTACTTGAACTCCTTTCTCTTATATATGTGTATCTCCTTCTTCCCACACTACCACTCCCAGGTCTCAGAGTCACTAGGGACGCTAGTAATTATGTTATAGTCTATTTTCATTGCTTTATCCCACAATACCTAGAATAGCAATACCAACATTACCACCAACAGTATAATTACTGAAAAT